GTGTTCTGGAATACAGAATTTTTCAGATTTTAGGAAGGTAAAACAGTGCACACCATGTGTGCATACGTGTGTGTAAATATACATATATATAAAAACATATATAAATATACATAAAAATATAAATATACATATATATAAAAACATATATAAATATACATAAAAATATACATATATATTATATATATATATAATAAATCCCTTGCACAGAATCCAGACTAGCAACCCACGTTCAAACATATTAATATTTTTGCAGTGAAACATACCCTATGCAGGTAAATAAAGACTATAAATAGTCTCATGTCAGTTCACTTCAGGACAAATGACGAATGAGTTATGAAAAACACCAGGCTTTCAGAACTTTTGGGATTTTGAAATGTGGAGAAAGGCCTACAGGACTGTATTCACAAAAGCGCCAGGGTCCCCACCAGGAAGGTTTGTTTCCACTTAGCCCACGAAAGGTTCAAATGCTTGCACTGGTGTGACTATGAGGCTGCATGTTACTGCACCATCAGGTAGAATAAAAGCTATCAGGATGACCTGGGAAAGCTGCACAGCGTAAGTTCCCCTCAATTCCCTCCAGCTGCCACAGTCCAGGCAGCCTCTCCAGGACAGATCGCGCTTAAGCTTTCATTCCTTCTCACCTAAAGGAAAAGGGAGGAGGGAAAACCAGAAGCAGCTAGAAGTGCACATAGGAAACTACCCCACCATCTTTCCTTTTCTTCAAGTTTTAATCAAGGCAAATGGGAAAAGGAGAACAGATCAATGAGGGTAGCCATATTCAAAACTGGAGGTTGTTATTTTTATTTTTAATGTCTAAGTTTCCTACCAGGACACCCGTGGTAGCTATGACAACATGGAACACTTCACAAATCCTTCCAGGTTGAACAGCACCCTCACAGTGTGGCCCTGGTGGTATTCTAGATGTATGATTATTTAAATAACCAATTGCTCATCCCTCAAGATAATTTCTACTACCCAAAAAGTCCAAGGCCGGCTCACTGTAGATGACGAGTTGTAGGCTAACAGAATTCACACTGATCCCAGTATGAGTCTGAGTGAGAGCTAAAAAAAGTCAAGTTTTCTGAAACATCATATAAGGTGGTCCAAAAACAAACTGAGCTCTATTTAATCTAAATGGATGCTCTCCCCTATTCCCAAATTATATACAAATTATAAACCTTGCTACTCTTCTCCCAGATTAATCACTAATGGTTCCCATCACTGAAGAAAAAAGTGTTTACCAAGCGGCACACAGTGGGTACTCAATGTTCTAGTACAGGGGTATGCAAACTATGGTCCAAGGTGAAAGTGACCCTCAACCTGTCTCTGTAAATCAAGCTTTATTGGAACACAGCCAAGCCCATTGATTTATGTATTGCCTGTGGCTGCTTTTGCAATACAAGGGCCCAGACTAGTTGAATATTTACAAGAAAAACATATAGCCCACAAAGCCTAAAAGATTACTATCTGGCCTTTAAGAAAAAGTTTACTGACTTCTGTTCCTATGAAAAGAATACCGGCTAGGAAATCAGAGAGACCTATATTTAAATCCAGTTCCATAATCACTAATAGAAATTACCTCATATTTCTGGGCCTCGGTTACTTCTTGTACAAAATGAGGATATCACTATCTACCTTGCAGGGATGTTATACAGACTAAATGAGATAAGGCAAATAATACACCTAACACAAAGTAAGCAATAAATGGTAGCCATTAAACTGCAATTAATACCACATACAAATTTGCCTATTATGTTAAGAAATACTCAATGTACAGTTATTCAAGGTCTAGCCAAATATTTTTAAAAATAAGATACAGTACTGGCATTTATCAACCTCCTCTGTTAAGAAAAGGAATAGTAACACACAAGTACTACTGTTTTGGAAGGCCAAAATTACTTTTCCTTTCTCCTATTATTTTTTTAGCCCTTAATTTAAAAAAACAAATTAAAGAAGCAAAGCTTCAAAGTTTTATTTAATATAAAGCTAATTCCTTCAACCATTCTATATAAAAAATGTCAAATAAAGCCTAAAATATACCACAGTCTCTGAATGAGAAATACTGATCTACAATTAAGAAAAAAAGGGGTAAGGCTTAAAAGATAAGTCTCTGGATTTCAGTATAGCGATCAGCAATACTTGCTGAGCAGTCTCTCAATGTTCCTGAGTTCACTGATGGAACCAGTGTTTGTTCAGCACCTATCATGTTCCAGGCTCTAAGCTCCAGCTGTGAACAAGGCAGGCTGTCACCACACTCTGAGAACTCACAAACCAGGGCACCACTCAGCACCATATAATAAGATTAGAACCACAACACACGGCCCATGACTATAAAACCATCTATATTATAGTAAGTCATATGAGATATTAGAGCTTGAAGGCTCCCAAGTGATAATCTAGTCTAACATCTGCATTGCACAAACAGGTTAACTGAATTGTCCATGGATATAAGCAAGTTAGTAGCAAACCCAATCTCCCCGACTTTTCTTCACATCAAGCTGTTTTTACTTAGGAATTACTTTACAAAGGGTCAAGTCTTAATCTTTCACTCCTTTGTAACCTGCAAACGCTATTCTGGAAAAACTACCCAATCTTCAGAACTCTAAACTCCTTTAGGCAGAGTTAACTATTTTCATTTTCTGTCTTCCCACAGAATTCTGTATATTTCTATTACTGCACGCTATACTGTATTGTAACCATGTGTTTATTTATCAGTTTCCTCCCCATTGACTATGAGCTCCTTAAAGACAGGAACCATGGACTGATAATAACCACTAATGTCTTAGTCCTTACTATGTGGCAGGGGTGTGATAACTTTATACACACTTTCTCACTTAATGCTCATAATAACTCGATTATCCATAAAACTAGGCTTGGAGAGATTATGAAAGCTCACCCACTTTAGCTGACTCCACAGATCACTAATTTAACATCCACATTATCCAGTCCCATCACCAACCTCCTCCTTCCTAACAGGAGTGTGATACTGTTCAAGTATCCCCACTTCTTAACATGGCCACCTGCTTCACTCAGAGGAGGCTGGACCCCTACTTAAGACCAGTAGGTTAAGCAGGACAGTCAAAAGCAATCACGGACACCCATTCCATTTTCCAATGATACTGGAGTGGGCACATGAAAGCCATTCTGGCCGATGTGATGTAAGAAAAGTCTGCTACGAGGCTGGGTGTGGTGGCTCACCCCTGTACTCCTAGCACTCTGGGAGGCCGAGGCGGGAGAATGGCTTGAGGTCAGGAGTTCAAGAAAAGTCTGCTGGGGAACTTCTGAGAAAGGCTTCCTCCCAAGTAAGAGACACAAGAAGATACTCTCCTTCCCTGCACATTGCTTTAACTACTACTGGACTTATTTATTTGAGATACTAAATTTTCTTTGAGTAGCTTTAGATCAGTGAAGTCAGTTTCCCATTACTTTGCCAGAAGCATCCTAATATGCACATAGAAAAAGTGGTAAAGCCATGACCGAAACACACACAAGGTGCTTTCACAGCCCTCAAAAATGTAACAACTGGACTCTATCACCTTTCATCTCTTCAACATTCCTACCATCCGGCACCAATGCCAAGCACATAAGAAGCAATTAACTATAGCTAAATGAATAAATAGATGAATGAAAGAGAATTTTAGCTCAGCTTTTAAAGATAGGTGAGATAAACTTTATATCCAGTTGTAAATGAAATATTAGCAAGTATAAAGCCTGACTGTTCTTAGATGAGACTGAGTAATATATTTAGAAAACAGTCTATACTAGAGCAAACAAAGAGATCCTATAAGCACCAGTTTCTAAGTCCAAACCAATCTCAAAAGACTGAGTCAATGAAAAAAGCATAGCAGATTCTGTTTCTGTAAGCCCCTTTTGTAACATCTATGGCAACTATTAGTAGTCATGCAAACTTTCCACTCTTCCTTCCATCTTAACCTTGATGCAAAGGGGCCACCCTCTAGGCAAACTAAAAGAAAGGGTGGCGGGGAGAGGGAGGAACGATGAGGGCAGAAAGAGGAACGACACCTCTTCAGCACTTCAAGTCCAGCCTAGCTCAGTCATCAAAAGTTAAAATGGTCAACCTTGGCCGGGCGCGGTGGCTCACACCTATAATCCTAGCACTTTGGGAGGTCAAAGCAGGAGGATCACTTAAGCCCAGCAGTTAGAGACCAGCGTGGGCAACACTGAGAAACTTCATCTCTACAAAAAGTAGAAAAATTAGCTGGGCGTGGTGGTACACACCTGTATTCCCAGCTACTTGGGAGGCTGAGACAGGAAGACTGCTTGAGCCCAGGAGTTTGAGGTTGCAGTAAGTTCTGATGATGTCACCGCACTCTAGCCCAGACAAACAGAGCAAGACCTTGTCTCAAAATAAATAAATAAAAAGGTCAACCTTCACAACTCATTTGGGCCATAGGACCCAAACCTACCCCCACCCATACTCCCAGCCAAAGGCACATGAAGAGCCTTGATATTTAGAACCTGAAGGATATCCTCTAGGCCATTACACACAGGTCACAGAAGTGCCCTTGACAATCCATACTATTTCTGGCCAGGTACCTGGGCCAGCTTCACAACAGTGACTTGAAGGTAAAATTCTCCACATCCTATTACCAATTTGATCCCCCAGAGGAAATCAGTGAAGACATCTATTATTCATGAAGGGCCACTCACCAACTTCTCATGACCTATTTGCTGCAAGGCACAAAATACACTTAAACGTCAAGGCTGCAAATGCTTGTAAACTTTGCAAAATAAAAGCTTCTCCTTATCTGTTCACTTGACCTTCTCTCAGTGCTAAAGGATTTCTTCATCTCCAACAAAAATCAAAGAAAACTACTCACTCTAGAATGAAACGTCCAAAAGCCACAACCTAAAATGAGTGTCTTACTGGAAGCCAAAGAATCATGTGGTTGCTCACAAAGGATTTTTTTTAAGGACCAATTTTGATTCACCAAAGCAACCCAGCCACCTGCAAGAGTGCCTTCTAAAGCACAGCTTACCTTGTAATTGCTAGAGTTCACCCAAGAGGTAGCGAGTCCATCCACAAGTTTATCTAACATGGTCTGGTCATGTTCAAGGTCAGCAGACTTCTGTTTGTCTGAGAAATAGTCTATAAGTTCTTGGCCAACCTGCAGTCGTTTCCCCACATCCTTCTGCAACACCTGTGCCAGGCAGGACTCCATGCGAGGCTCCATGGTGGAATTCAAATCCAGATTCAGCAAAAGCTAGAGGGCAGTCAGGATGACTTCCTCCCAGTAGATGTATCTGAGAGGTTGCCTCTTTGTTCGCTGAAGGTTACTAAGAGCCTGTGTTTCAAAGATGCAATCCGGGGAATGGCAACAATGCACCATGTGTGTCTGAAGAGCAGCTGGTAGGATATTAAAAGTCCAATTTAAATAACTAGTAAGAGATAAAGGAGTGAGTGGCAGAGTGACATTCTACTATTGGGTCTGAAATACTTCATAATTCAGCAGTCCATTCTGAAAAGTAAGAGAAGAGAACGACAAATCAGCACAGATAACATAACACTCAAATGTTATGAAACATTAAATCAAAGACAAAGCGATTCATGCTGCAGAATCATTTATAATCGCATGGAGTGAAAAGCATGAACGCTTGGCAACCGTATCAGAATAACATAATTATTATTTTTATCAGGAAGAACATCGAAGCCCAGAGAAGAGAGCCAATGAGCTAAACAGTTGGTGGGTTGGTATTTTTCACAATTTCCCAGCTTGTATTATAAATGCACCAGTCAGGAAAGCAATCTTCTGCTTTAGCTAGCAAATTTATTTGCAGCACAAGTTCTGCTTCCCACCAAAAACCCACCACGACTCTGTGTCTGAATCACTGTAGGTACTGCAGCTTATTGCCTTACTCACAGTCTTCTGAAAAACCAAGTACCAGAAGTGGGGCAGGCACCATAAAAAACATCATTGACCGAACTGACTGGCTTGTACACATTAACCAAAATCAAGTGCAGCACCTACATCACACTTCTTGCTTAGCAGCTTTACAATGGGATGAGCAGTAGCCCCTACCTCCTCCCCACAACAAAGAAAAGAGAGAGACAAAAGGAGAAAGGAAACAGGCTCACATTTTGATCAGTTATTGACAGAATATTCTCAGCTGACAATAGCACCATTTGGACCTGGTGTTTTGTTATAAAATCGGGAGATCTCAAAATCATGTTTAGGTAGGGCAAAACACATGATATGGGAAATGTACCAAAACTGTTTTAACCACACAAATTGTACAAGCTGTGTAGTTAATCTATAGCTGCTGTAGCAATGGTGCACATTTATTTACTTCAATTTCTTCTCTCCTAAAAGCATTACTCGATTACTCTCATTCTAAACCAAGAAGACCCACAGGAAACCCATCTTCAAGATGCAGCACCTCCCTGATACTGCACTAAATAGAAGTGCTCTTCACACCAACACTAAGTTCCAACTTTAAACATTTCCAGCAAGTAAATCTGTCTTTTATGAATCAAGTAAAATTAAAAATTCTGGGTAAGGAAACTCTTCCAGTCAAAACACAGCAGTTCTCTCCCTTTCTAATATGACCCCATCCCCACCCCTAACCTTAACATTAAAAAAAAGATGCTCTGAGTTATAAAATCATAGCCTTTCTGGTGGGTTATACAGCAAGTTTATTTTCTGTAGAGAGGTGCCTTATGTTTACACACAGGAAAGAAATAAAAGGAAACCCAGATATTCAACCTCTTTTTCCTCTCACAGAACTGGGTCCCATGTCCTCAGAAGCATGATGCAGTGGTTCGGTATCTTTACTGGGGACCAAAAATGTTGGGATCAGGAAGGGTCAGACTGGTCAAAATCACCCACAGTCCAAGGTGGAAGTGATAGATTTTCAGGGCCAAGAGATGAGCTATTGTCAGGGAGGTGGCTGACTGAAGGTGAGCAAGAGATCAGCCTGGTAGAGGGGCAGCAGCAGTAAGGCCTCACGCAATGTCACATGCTACGCTGACTGCTAGGTTTCCTTAGCTGCCTGCTGCTTGCCAGAGAGGACCCAGACTTCTTCACGGCAGCCCCTCAGTGCCAGGGTCTCCACAGCGAGAGGCTGCACAGACTCCACTTGCGCAGCCCTAGCCTCCTGCACTCCACCAATGTCCTCAGAGTGGTACCATGCAGCCACTTCAACCCACGCATGCACCTGCAGCTCCAGAAGTTCCACAGTCAGGCTCTGGTCCATCACAGCATGGCAGAGAACCATTAATGGCCCTGGGAAAAGGTATCCCTGAACAGTAGACAGTCTTTCATGGGCTCCATGAGCCTGAGACTAGGGCATGGACATTAGAGAGGTGCAAGAGAAACCCACATTGGGCCACGTGGCGTCACCTCCCTGGATTTCACAGCCACCACTGCCACATCCAGTCTCGCTTAGCTCCCTGACCCACTCTCACAAACTTTTCATAGCAATAGGAATCCCGTAGGTCAAGTCATTCAACGAGGAAAGCCCTCCTTCAAAGCGCCGGCATACAATTACCCATCTTCTACTTTACAGCTTCTAAAAATGCAGGGGAGTGAGGGAGGGATGGCATTCAACAAGACTTAACTAGCTCCCTGAGCAGTCTTTCCTTAAATTGAGAAGGTATCTGCTTTCCGGTCATTTCCACACCCTGGAACTAGTCCCTCCTTCAAAGGAAAGATCTACAAATATATAAAAGCAGCTATTACACTTCATTCCAATTTTTAGTCCAAACATAATACCTCCAGTTCCTTAATCAGCTCTTGTGTTGGACTAAAGAAGGTATCGATGATATAGGAAAACTGCAGAAACAAACAGAACCTCTTCTTTCTGGGTTCAATATTAGTCCAAGAAGCAGAACAAATATCAAACTGTGGTGGCTTAAAAGTGGCCACAAAGTCTTTGCTACTCCTCCCCTAACAAGGTAGAATCTAAGTCCCCTCCCACAGTGACTCTGGGCTTGGCCCTGTGAAATGCTTTTGCGCAGTGGGAAATCAGCACTATAAAAACAAGCAGAGACTTGATATGCAAACACTGGTGTTTGCCCTCTTAGAATGCTGTGATGGGACAGCCATGCTGTAAGGAAGCTGGTCTAGCCTACTGGACAAGAGAGGTCACATGAAGGAGAACCAATACAGTATGACCAACAGGAAGCAGCTACTGCCAGATGTGTAAATGAGGCCATCTGGGACCATCTACCCGTTCCAGTCACCATCCAACTGCAGCTACACAAATAAGTGTAAGGAAACAAGCAGAAAACCACCCAGCCAAACCACAGAATTATGAGAAATAACATTTCATTGTTGTTTTATTTAGGCTAAGTTTGTGATGATTTGTTACATAGCAATAGATAACTGACACACTTCTACTTCTCCTAAACCATCTTTCATCCTCAGTGAAAACACGCTCAGCTTTTATTCCTTCAACGGGTCTAAAATCAACAGATGCTAACCAGTAATAATGACAATAATACCATTTTTAAGTATCTACACGAGGTGTCAAGTTCTATGCTAGGTGATTTACACATACTACCTCTAATTCTTCAACCAACTCTATAAGGTAGGTGGTTAACATCCCTATATCATAGATGAAGAAATTAAGGTAGAGTAAGGGTAACTAATTTTCCAAGGTTGCATGGCCAACGAGTTTCCTTTCCCCACCTTTGGACCCTTATTATTAGAAGTCTGGCCTAGTTCTGTTTTGACTCAGGGAAAGGAGGTCAGACTTCATGCTTAGCTAGGAAGAAACAGGCAAGAGAGCAGGGTCTCCATTCCTTAAGTAAACACTGGGAAAGATCCCATTTGTACAAATCTCTACTGTGATTTTTAAAATATATAAGAAACCCCGCCTCTTCAATTGGAACTGTATAAGATTTCCAACAAATAAGCATATACTTCTTGAAGGTAATTATGCAATAAAGGCTTAGCACACTCAAAAATAGGTCATAAACTCATATGAATGAAATTCAACAAATGAAAGAGATTGGAAGCCCTGAGGCATTAAACAGACTGGGTTCTCTCTTTTCTCTTTTTAACTAAAAAAAAAAAAAGTAACTATTCTCTCTTACACTTACTAAACTGGGTTTTCGGTACCCTTTTCCCATGCTTTTGAGTGATTTTCCATCTCTACTTTCAAAGGTATTCAGGGAATATTAATCACATAGTTCCTAATGCACAAGGTACAAAAGTACAACACCTCCCTCCCACCCATGACCCCTAGCTACCCAGTTTCCCTCCTTAAAAGCAAATAATGTCACTGGTTTCCTATGTATCCTTGCAGAAATATTTTTAGCTATCTAAGCAAATAAGTAGTTGTGTTCTCCCCCTATATTCTCCAGGAAGAGTTTTCTAAGCATTTGCAATTATAATAAATCATAAAAAGAGAACTCAAAAACAAAGAAAAATACAGGCAAAATTTCATATAGCAAGAGCTTTAAAAAAAGTTTATATTTAAAATGCAGAAAACTTAGAAAATAAACAAGAAGAAGAAAAGGAGGAGGATTTAGAAGAGCTGGAGAAGGAGAAAGAACAGTTAAAAGAGTTAGAAAGGAGGAGAAAAAGAAGTTGGAGGAGGCAGAGGAAGAGGAGTTGGAAGAGGAGGAGGAGGTAGAAGAGAAGGAAGAGTTAGAGGAGGAAGAAGAGGAGTTGGAGGAATTAGAGGAAGAGAAGTTGGAAGAGGAACAGAGTAGGAGGAGGAGTTGGAGGAGAAGGAGGAGGAGAAAGTAAAACTCCCTTCCCTCCACCCACATCCTGACCAGACTCTCCACTAGGGAAGAGTGAAACAAGGAAACTGAGGTCTAAAGTTAACCTGTAACTGGTAGTCACCTATGGCGAAGCTAAATAAAAACCAGGTCTATGATGTGTAAGAAGCGATGGAAGGCACTGGGATCCAAGAATAAACAGGACTCAGCCCCTGCCCTTACTGAGCTTATGGACGACTGTTACAATCCCCGCAGTCACTTCTACAACCATCAATCAAGAGACTAGCATTACACAGAGAATCACCTTACAGCCGTGTTGACATCAGAAATTACTCGGAATGTCACAGTATTTCTAAGTGAAAAAAAAAAGGTCAATTTTCACACATTTCCCAAAAGAATAAGAGAAACATAAAAAAGACATGGAAAAAACGCTAGATGAAGTTGGAATAGCAAACCATCATTTTTCTTGTTTATTTATCAGGATAAGTTTTTTCCATTAGCAAGATCTCACCATGAAGGCTACTGAACACAATAAATGTTACTCTGTCAGTCACATGAGAAAAGGGACAACATTTCAGGTATTTGTGAAAAAATGCATCAACTCTTCCCAAACCCAACCCCAACTGCAAGATGCCCTTCCATTCCCCAACATGAACATTCTCTGTCTCTATTACAGTGGTTAGGTTCCAAGCTTCTCAACCTTTTCCTGCCACATCATCTTGGTTTACGGGGCAAAACAATAAAAGGTCAAGACAGTGGTCCTAGTCATCCTCCTTTATAGTATCCTGG